ATGTCTCTTCCCAGTAACTGTCACTCTTCTACCCGGCAGATTCATCCAGCTGATCAAATGCCAGCAGAATTCAAAAGCCTTTGCTAAGATTCTTGTTTCTTTGCTGTCTTGTAAACAGTTCTTGATCTAGCTAGTAGCTCTTTTTGAGGTTGAGCTATCTCAGACATGTGGCAGAGAGTAGTGACAATATATTTCATAGAGACTAGTAAAGACCGTTCTCAGTGAGAGGTCAGATCCTGACTTTGGGCACGATTGAGTCGTTGCTTGGCAAAATCTTGTGTTGATGCAAGACTTGTTTTAAAGATGTGCACTTGTTTGTTGCGGTCCCTGTGAATCTGGAAAGACAGTGCAAGTACAGAGTTCTGAGGGACAAATCCTCAAAAATATTTTTTTCCTCTTTAAAATTTATTCCAGCTGCACTGGTAGGTTGTTTCACTGCTCAAACGTGGCCAAAAAATTCTTACTTTGAGTGCAGGTTGTATTACAGACTAAAACCAATTACAGCAAATGTACAAAATTTAGGTGATAAGTTTCGTAACCCCTCTTAGGTAACGAAGGTGTAAGTGTTCTGTAGATCTGGGAAAACCGTGTAAATGCCATATATCCATGTGATTCCACATAGGAGACCAAATTTATGTCATAGCTCAGCTATGCAGACTCACTTAGGGATATGTATCTCTTTCTAGATGTCACCCAGGCTAAAAAGGTTTCTGTATTCATCCCTTAGGAGCAACAGAGTGGCTTTGTCAAACATTAGCAGCTTTGAGGTGCCAACTGAAGCACTTACAAATTGCCACCAACCCTTTTTTATCAGAATAGGTTGGGTAAGCTGTTATTTTTGGCTAACCTTAACCATTTTTTGTAAGGTCATGAAGACTGACTACTAGTTCAGCTCTCTGAACTGATTAATGATTCTAAATCAAGAATGGAGCAAGCAAATAATAGAAACTTACACCCATCCTTCTCAGTAATTAATGGATTAGCTCCACCACTATGAGTATTCCACATGTTATTCACCAGGAAAGCTTGAATGGGCTTCAAATGGGAATGAGAGTAATCCTGCAAGAAGCAGGGCCAGTATAATCCAAGAAAAATTATTTGAGGGAAAGGAGATGAGGATATTTCCCAATTGTTTTTGGAAGTGGAATAGTTGCTACTTACAGTTTGGGTTTCTGGCCTAACTTTACAAGTCAGTGGTCCATTAAGACAGAAATCTTTGTTGTTATAATTGATACAGGGTTAACCAATGTACGGGGGGGTTGTACAGGGGCGTTGTACAAGGGGGTTAGATGAATTTTCTTGCTTAAACAAAAGTATTGTCTGTACCTATCATGCCTACTAAGCAGAACAAAGGCACTAACCATTGGTAAGGAAAAGCAGACACCTGGTTCTACTGACAAGGAAAAGCAGAGGCCTGATTCTACTGATAAGCAGCTATTGATAAGGAAAAGCAGATGCCTGAAGGGGGAGATGCAGAGGGTTTATGGCTGGGACACCGACCAAACCCGAAGACTAAAAGATGAAAAGTTCAAGAAGAGGAAGACTCATTTACTTCATCTTGAAGACCCCTACCCACAGGAGGAAGACTCAGTTACTTCGTCTTGAGACCCCTGCCCATGACCAGAGGGGGCACTGCACAGGCGCAAAGGACCTTCTAACTCATTATAATACGAAGCAGGGATAGGACATGAATATGTATAGGCGTATTGTGCAACCTTATGAATATATATAACTTTAGAGAATAAATGTAGCGGGAAACAACACTGAGACATGCATGACTTAGAGGAATTATCCCCGCGTCTCAGCGCTGAATAAAAAGCATACCTACTTTACAACTTTAACGAGTTGTGGAGTCAATCCGCACATCATAATGCACTGTAACAATGATCAGCCTGCACCTTGATGACTCTAGGGATATAGTTCCACCACCTATTTTCACTCAGTTGGCCAGGGAGTTGTTTAAAGGCACTGATCCATTCAAAACCCACCATACCAAAATAATTATGTTTTCAGCTTAGCCTGCACTGCTGACTGCATGATCACACAGATGGCTGCAAAGAAGAGAGCTGGATTGTGACTGTTGTGATTTAGGCTGCTGTGAAATCACACTACAGGGCTTAACTATCAAATATCTCGGCATCTCTCAGTGACAGGAGCTGGAGTCCTTTGCTAAACCAACTTTGAGACCTGGCCCTTTACAATACGCACCACACAGCTGTGATGTATAGATATGCACATATCACATTCCTCAGTCTTGTATTAAAATGTACTAAAATTAACCTTAATTCCAACCTCAGTGACATTGACATGGAGGCCTGTTAAAGGCTGTGGTATTTGTAACCTGTGATGGCATAGAGTCTCTCACATATCAACACATATACTAGATATAATAATTCACTTTTCTTTTCTAAAATGTTTTGATGTATAGGCTTATTCATTTAGAAGTGTCACTTCAAGTTGATGGTAGCTCATCATATCTTCTCATAAAACAGCTGCACAGTAAATTAGTGCATGCATAATATGCCTTTGACAGCACAGGTGTGCTGGTCAGGAACCTCATCTCTTGCTATTGTGTAGAAATCTGTAGCATAGACGGTCTTTAGCTTGATCTGATTAAAACCACCAAGATTTTCACAGAATCATAGAATTAACCAGGCTGGAAAATCAACTACTGGATTTTACAGTAAAAACAAGTGTTATCTTGACTCATCATAGGGAAAATTAATTTTTATTAATTTCACTACTTAATTTCATAAACCACAGCTGGTTAAATCCTAATGATAAGCATTTACCTTAGGTGTTTGAAGAAATGGTTCACAATATTTACTATGGGCTGTAATAATGGGCTGTATTTATTAACAGACAGGGATCACTTATATGTAGAACTATTCTGAATTTTACTTTTAAGTTATGCTGTAAATACTGTGTCTTTAAAATGTTGCCATTGACTTTTAACATATTCAGATTTTTAAAAGTTAATTGAAGAATATAAATAATCCTGTGTTTTACTATGCCAAGCTCAGGGAACACTTCACCGGGTAGTCTTTTGTTGTTACTGTAATAAATAGAATCATTAATGAATACAAATCTCAGTATCCATGCTCAGTTTTTCTCGTTGCCTCCATAATGCTGATAGTAGTCTGATGTGCCCTTTTATTATCTCCTTTATCCATAGAATATGCAAGTAAGTGAAATAACTTTTGAGAAACATTTCAAAGTATTTGTGGGTAGTGACCCTTAACACATATTGTAAACAAAAATGCTGAGTTGTAAATTGGGACCACCCTGTTGAGAGCAAGATGTTAGGTAGTAAATTGGGACAACTTTGTTGAGAGTAAGATGGGTCGGTGTGACCTTGGGGTATGTATAAAACAAGAGTATCCTGTTAAGGTAAGAAAGGAATGAGGGAGACAGACTGGGTTCTTCAAGGAACAAATCAGAACAAACTAACCTAAAACACAGACACAATTGTTAAGTACTACACAAGAGTCTTTTCACATGCATAAGCACAGAGATCAGTCAGCAGAAGAGTATTGACGACCATCAGACACCCCTCGAGACTACCACTCGGCAAGAAAAACGCATGAATAATTAAAATGCAAATATTACAATTAGTTCCAGGAAATCTAATGAATATGTAAGACATTTTCCGGAAAGGTTGTAAATATGCATAAGTTTGTTGGGTTTGGATGCTGCTTGTAGACTCCAGGGGTGCTCACCTTCGCGAAATGATTCGCACGTGCACCCAGGGCTACAATAAAGAATGCCTACTGTCTAAAACTCCAAATCGAGTCCTAGAGAGTTTCTTCTTGCAGGATGAAGCAGGACATTTTCCATCATTTCAATGTATCTTGCTACTTTCACGCTGCTTGGCTGATAAGGCAAGTATCTTTCTGCTTTGCATTTGGTTTTATCTTTAAAGTTTTGGGAGCCTTTTCCTTTCCTTTCCTTTTTTTTTACCTTACTCTTTGCAAGGAAGTAAGAAGTGTGACAGGAAGGTGTGACTTTTAATTTACACCAGACTTCTCAACAAATAATGACTTTTCACACCCTGTTATTGCTGTTTAGCCTGGGGGAGGACTTGTATGGCTACTGTTGTCACATCAAATTAAATCCACTCATGTAATTCAGAAAGACATTCCTCTTAAGCTTAACCCTTCTAAAGTTGCTGAAGTCTAGTGGCACAAGAGCATAAGCTGAAGTGAATGTGTTTTGGGGGTCTCTCTTGCTGAAGGATGAAAACGAGGATGTTTTTATTCAAGAATGGTGCACGGGGCTTTTTCGGAGATTAGTTTTGGGTTTTCATAGTGCAGTGAGCCAGATCTTGGTGAGGTTTGTGTGGATGAACCCTCATGTTAGAGCCCACTGCAGGCTCAGAGGTTGTGCATGGGTACATTTCAGGAAAAGAAAGGTTTGGCCAATGATGCCAGACACTCGTGTTTTCATATGAAAAAAAAAAAAAACAAACAAACCCCAAAACAACAAACAAAAACCCAACAAACCCAAAAACCAAACAAGCCCTTGCCTGAATAAGTTCCTCTAATATTGTTTGTTGTGAATTGCAAGTATAGTCATAGAGCATTGGATGCTCCTTTATGTACTAGGGCTAAATCACCCTCAGAGAGTTTTCTACTGTCAAGAAGTTGGCAGAGTAGGACAAGCTTTGGCTTTGTAAATCATCTCCTGAGGTTGCAGCTCGTTTTGGTAGGCGATGTGCCCCCCTCACCTCTATTGAAGCAAACCCCTCGGGGAGGTTCACACGAGACGGGCTAAATAGACTTACCGGGGATAGGAACCGGGGTCTAGGTCCCGTCTCTGCGCCCTCTTCCTTCTCGGGGCTCCCAGAGCATTTTCCTAAGAAGCGCTGGAGCCTCAAAGACAGGACTAACAGGAGGAGCTGCCCCCTCCCCTACATTTTCCAGGAGCTTTATTGCTCCTAATTGCTGGTAATTGAGGGTTAAGTATTTGCCTGAGTACCTGCTTGGTGGTACTGAAAGGGTTAAGGTGCTTGATTGACTCTAAACATATGTGTGATAGAATCTTATCTGATGGTGGGGTGGTTTGGTTTTTTTTCTCTCCGTAAAATGTCAGCCGTTTCCTGAGGAGCGTGGTGGTGGTGAATTTCACACCTTTACTCTCCTCTGTGTGGAAACCTGGGTGTTAATGGTACTGGAGCAGGTCGTCTTTTACAAGAAATGAGACTGTCTTTTAAAACAGAGGGAAAGCAAGGAAGGGAGAGGAGGTGAAGGAAAGGATCCAGGGAGACTGCCACTTGTAGCAGGCATTAGTTGGATTATTTTGTGCTGGTTTTATTCAGAGCATGTAAGTGTAACATTATTTGCTAAGTACATTTTTTTTCCGTATGAAGTGTTGGAGCTTGACATAAAAATAATCCTTTCTTTTCATTTCATAGTGAAATTTTGCATTGCAACACCTGAAGATGGAAAATTGGTCGGTTGATCAAGTCTGCAACTGGTTGAGACAAAGAAATTTAGGTGAACTAGTTCCTAAGTTTCGGGGTAAGAATTTTTGTTGTTTGTGTGGGGTTTGTTTAGTATTTCTTTCTGTGCCTTTAAATTGGTACTGCCTACCTTTATTTTTTTTTTTTTTGGGGGGGGGGGGGGGGGGCGGCATGTGTATGTATGTATTAGCTTCAGACTTACAGAAGTTAATTATGACTAACATAGATATGATAAATCAAAATAAGTGTGCAAACTCTCTGAGAAATCCTGGGGGATGAGATTAAGCCTGAACGTAAATAGGTACACCTCAAATCAAGCTGCCAGTTTAAAAAGGCCTATTTTATATCATATTTATCTTTTGAAATAATGCAACTGTACTGTGTAAATGTTTTATGTCTGAGTATATAAACGGTCTACAAAAGAGTGCATGACCGTCTGTTATGTCAACAGGCTATTTTTTATGTGTTTTCTTCAAAGAAAATTTGCTTTTCTTCCTTAATCAAGTAACAGTCTGCTGTGGTCTAAGCAAGGCCTGATTTAAAGCATTAAAATAGCGCCCTGGTTTTTGGCTTTTTGTCAGGGGAAAGCATCTGGCCAGTGATTGGGACTCCTGGTGCTGCTAGGAAAAGGACAGTATCTAAACCAGCTTTTTAACAATTGAAGACCATCAGGAGTAGAAAGCAGCCTTGCCTCTGACCTGTCATGATGTTTTTAGGCATATAGAAGTTACTGTAACTGTAAAGTTATTTTTCAGAAATTCTTTAATTCCCTTTGCAGAAGAAGAAGTAAGTGGAGCAGCTCTTCTGGCTCTTAATGATCGTATGGTGCAGCAGCTGGTGAAGAAGATTGGGCACCAGGCAGTGCTGATGGACATGATCAATAAATATCAGCAACAAAAAAGTGGTCTAAAATCCCTTACATATGATTCTGAAACAGCTTCTCAAAAATTTCCAGAAGTAATTAGTGGGTGAGTTCATATATGGCACAGAAAGTATCAGTTTGGGTATAGCTGTATTCTTTCTGTAACACTTTAAAACTCACATTTACTAGCTCTTCAGCTCTAATATGTAGCTGATTTTTGTACTTTGAATACCTCTAACAACATGTGAAATGCAAAAAAAGGTTGTTACTTTGTGGTTTTAAACAGGGCAGCAGCATTCCTGAACAACACCATTAATTAAAGCTGCTCTTCATTTCCAGTTCTAGGACCTAGTTTGCATTTGGATGAAGCATCATCAAGCTTCAACTATAGCTAAAACTTTCTGTATTTGTGATATTAAGGTTGTGAAGCAGTTCTAAATATTTGCAAGTCTGGGGGTAAAATCGCGATTTAGCCAGAGATGGTATTTGTGTCACGGGTATTTAAACACAGTCTCTCCAAAAAAGCTCTGAATTTGCTCTAGGTGTAAGCATTTAATGATCCCACCATGTGGAACTAGATAGATTTTTAGAAATAAAATTCCACAGAGATTGTCTTAACTGGGCATGTTCTGGCTTTTTTTTTTTTTATTTCTTTCTTGTCTGTGGTTTCTTTCGTGGGGGCAGAGGTTGGTGGTTTTGTGGCTGGGTTTTGAGGGGTTTTTTGGTTATGTGTTTTGGTGTGGGTTGGTTGGGGGTTTTGGGGTAGGTGGGTTGACTGGTTTCTCCCCTATCCCACCCCTTCATTCTGATCTATTGTAAATCTTGCAGGATTATTTTTTTTCTGATGTATTGGCTGAAGAGAGACATGCTGAGCTCTGAGTGCTCTCTTCTAAGCCAAAGAATTCTGACAGCAGAGAATGTCTTGTCATGGATGCAAAATGCCCTTTTTTGAGGGAAGGACTCTAGCTCTAAGTCTGTATTAGTACACAGTTGTAGCCAAGTAGGAATAGATCTGTAGAGCATTCTTTGTTGCATTTGGCTTGATCCTAAAGGAGTCCAGTTTGTGCATTCTGAGATGACTCTATGGTGCAAACCAAAGCATGGTAAAGGATGACTGGGTTATTTCCAGGCAAATTGCACTCGTGAGCATAACTTAACTTGCTCATACGATACATCCTCTTGTCCTTATATTTATGAAACCCCTTGGGTAAATTGTCCTGCATCATTACAGGGAAAGAGGGTACAGGAAGAATATGGTGTTACCGCATGTATGATTTATCAGAGACCTGAAGTATGCAATCACAGCCAGTCTTGTTTCCCTGCTCCAGGGTCTTGCCTCACTTGATTTACAGGAAGCCTCCTCTTTGGAGGTAGAGCAAGTGTCTGTTGTGAAGACTGCTGCATGTGGGCCCTGTACTTCATGAGAAGGGTGGTAGACGCATAGTGATTTCAGCAGTGAGATTCAGAAGAAAACCTGTCCTTCTGTTTAAGGCAGTGCGAATGCTGCTCTGAATATTTAGATTTTATTCTTGACTGTCAGAAAAATTTGACTAGACTGTATCTCAGATGTGACTGTTTCCTGTGTACTTCTCAGCTCCTGTAAATCAGGCCTTACTGTCTCACAAAGGGCATAGAGCTGCAGCAGTGTGAAGGCACACCTTTTCTGTGAAGTTCTGCAGACTCCAAAAAATAAAATGCTGAAATTCTCAACTATTGGTGAATATAATAGAATATACCTTAAAATCTGTCTTACCTAGAGGTCTTGCCTGGAAAAGAAGTTGCTGGTATTCTTCTGTTTATTGGGAAGAAAAGTAAATAAGCTGCTGTTTCTGAAATATTTTCTGTGTCAGAGTCAAGAACAGTAGAATAAAACTCAAGCAAGTTTAAGAAATGCATTGAGTCATGTATTTTTGGATGAATAAAAAATCATGATATTCTATGCAGCTTGCAGTATAGAGTGATGCAAAAGCTCCTGTGGTAAACCCAGTATTTTTTTATAGGCTGTATCTTCATACGCAGATGGCTCTAACTCTCATTTCTTAACTCGGGAGTGCTTGTGTTTGTGATGTAGTTAGAAATTATTTTGTCTGGTACATCTTGAACAAACTCTCATAAGAATAATTCATTTTGACCTAATTCAAGGACTCATGACTAGAAGAAAGTGTATGAGGCACTGTTTTAAAGTAGCTTTTATTTTTTTTCTTGGTATGCTGCTTTGACACAGAGGAACAGAATATACAACAAAACACAAAATTAATGGATCCACAATATATGAGAAGTGAACTCACATTTCCTTTGTTGCCCAGTTATGTGAGGCTGAATTGCAGTCTTGGTCCCTGTCACATTTCTTACATGGATGCTATCTCCAGTGCTTGTTGGTGCACCCCGGGCTAGTCACTTCTTTATCCTGCTGTCCTTAACATGTCTTCTAACTGCATGCGAATTGTGCTCACCTCACCTTTCTTCTAGAAACAGAAGTCATTGGCTGGCATGGAGTTTTGAGTATGGTAGGTGAACACTTTCTGTGTGGAAGTAGCAGACTTGTGAAAGGACACCAAATGTGACTTGCCTCTCCAGCAGTTTGGATTAGGACATAGAAGAAACATCTGTCTTGTGTCTCTCTAGTAAGTGGAAGTGTTCTGGGTCATGCAATAGAAACTGTGTTTATGTGTGTCCTGGGTTCAGCAGTAGCAGTCATTTTTCCCCTTCTTGGTAGCTGGTGCAGTGCAGTGTTTTGACTTTCAGCTCGGGAACAGAGCTGATAACAATGATGTTTTGGTTTGGCCAAGGACTTTGTGAGCCTCATGCTCTGCCAGGGAGGAGGGGGAGCCAGGAGGAAGCAGAGACAGGACACCTGACCCAAGGTAGCCAAAGAGGTATTCCATACCACAGCACGTCATGCCCAGGATGTGACTGGGAGTTAGCCGGAAGGGCTGTGAGACGGCAGGGTTGGAGGAGGTATCGGTCGGAGCTTGGTCGGGCTTGGGGGGCTAGTTATCGGTCGGCTGGTGGTGAGATGATGTATTCTCTTCCCTTGTTATTTCCTTTATCATTATTATCATTGGTGGTAGCAGTAGTGATTTGTGTTATACCTTAGTTACTAAACTGTTCTTATCTCAACCTGTGGGAGTTGCATTCTTTTTGATTCTCCTCTCCGTCCCTCCGAGAGCCAAGAAAGGGGGGGAAGTGAGTTACCTGACTGGGTTTAAACCACGACAATGTGCATATGAGGAGCTTGCCCGTAGATGTTACCAGGTAATAGCAAGATCTTTTCCAATTCAAGACTGATTGTTTCTAAAACCAACATAGAGAACATACTGGATTTTTTTTTTTTTTTTAACTAGAAAGCTGAAAAATACTGATTTGTGAAAAGCCTGTGGCTTCCAATAGTAATCTTTCATGTGTGAGAGCAGCTGAGGCTGGAACAGTTTATAAAGCATCTTTGAAGTTGGGAGGTTCTGAGGAGATGAGGTTCAGAAAGGAAGCTGTATCATCCCCCCCTCCCCAGATGGCTGATGACAGCTATGAATTCTTGGCAGCATAACAATAGCCCCTATCTTAGCTCTGCCTTTCCCCCAGTGCAGGGTAAAAATGCTGATGTTTGCTTCTACCAACAAAAGGAGAAGAAATAGATGGGAAAATGAGGCTGACTTGAAGGTTTAATATGGACTTACTTAAACTCCGGAAGAAACAACACTTCAAAGTTCTAGTTGAATAGAAACTGCCTTATAATACCATGTAAATCACTCTTTCACCCCTCTCCTTGCATATTGTAATGTTTAGTTATTCCCAGAGATGCCAGGTTATGAAGATGGCAGTTATCCTGCAGCTCTGAGAAGGTTTATTTTCTTGGGTTTTGTATCAGTATAGTGATTACTACACTACAGAATATTATTAACAATTTTTCTTTTAACTTCTCAGAGTCTGATAATTGAACTGAAAGGCTGATTAAGAGATATCTGCATCACATAAAATCATAACTGTTCAATAAGTATGTTAATTTCTCTCCTTTTCTATTTCTGCCACTAGTATTTTAAAAACCTAAAATATCTTTTTCTATAAGTTGCTCAAAATGTGGCAATGAAAATATTTATTTATTAAATAAATTAATAATAATTAATATTAAATATGTATTTATTTAAATAATTTATTTATTCATTCTTTCAGGGTTACTGACAGACAAATGTTAAATTCTTCTGGTCCTGTAGAGCAGAAAAAACATCTGTGCTCAACTGAAAGGGAAGAAGGACTAATTGATCACAGAGTGCTAAAGCAAAAGTGAGTCATTTCTAATGCATTTACTAAATCTTTGTTACCTTTCAAAACCCACATAAGCACTTCTTTTTTCTTTGTTAAGACTAAAGAGATAATTTTTCATAAAAATAATCCTAATTATTGGAGGACAGGTTCAAGTATATCCAGGTATATTTAGAAAACAGCCGAAGCAGGAATTTATTAAGATCTTACTGAATTAAATAGTCTAATAGTATTTTTTCTGCCCCCCCCCCCCCCCCATCCTCAGCCCTTGCTCACTGTCTCATATGTTACCTTATGCAGAGGGTAATTTATAGGTTTGTTTTTGTCTAGTTTTTAAAAAGCCTTTTTTGCAGATGTGTCTTCAACAGCAATCTGGTAAATTAATCACTACAGAGTGGAATATGGCTATAAAAATATTCACACTTGAGTCATCTTAAATATAGCACTTGGGAAGATAAGCAAGGCAATTGCACTTGTATGCTCATTTTCCTTGGGCATCAAAATGAGGCTCCCTAAAAACTGGAGGTGAGATGAAGTGCTGGGGGTGGTTTCTTTCCCCCTTTTTTTTCCTACATACTCTTTTCTCCTTTGAGATAGGCACTTAGTATTGGAAGAGCCCCATTCCTCTTTCAAGGCAATCGTTTTCTTGTTTGCGAAGCTTAGTTATCCCCCCGTGTTCCCACCTTCTATAATTTCTACTCCTGCTATCATTCTCCCGCCCCCCCCGGTTTGACTGATATGTTCACTATACTGGTATAAGGGAAGGTCTTCTTGCAAAAAGAAGTCTATTTTTATAACTTTAAAAAAAGTAACAAGGAGTTGGGGATAAGGCTGTCTGGGAACAGAGTAGAGAGCTTAGTGAATCATAGTTAATGGTTTTAAAATAAAGTCCTGTGACGAGCTTCAAAAGAACAAAACCAAAACCTCAAAACCTAAAGATCCTGTCAGCATTGTTATAAAAGAAGCAAACCCGAATCACTAAAACTGTTGGAATAAACCATTAATATGATCTTGTAATGATGGATTTTAGCCTGTGCTACTAAAGAATACTTATTTTTAATTAATGATGTGTAATTGGCTTTGTGCTGTATAAAGAGTTTTAAATGAGTTATATGAATCAGTGAAACCCAGAATAGAACAGCTTTAGGAAATGTTCTCAGCAAATGTTGTCAGTACAGAACTTTCAAAGGCCTATAATGGCCTCTTAAGGGAAAGGGACTGCAGAAGAGCAGTGCCATTTCACTTTGGGATATGGAAGCAGGGGAGGAGGGAAGTCTGCTGCTGTAAATGAAGTGCCCCTTCTCAGTGAAGTAGTAGATGCCCTGAAAGTCAGTGGAGCTGTGATGATTTGTAGTCTTGGAGACCTGAGTAAATTTTATGAGGGCTTATCTTTAAAGGTCAGATGAGAAGCTGGCATATGTCTTTCTCAGAAGCAGCTCTTTAACTGACTAAGACTGAGGATGGAATTGAAGAGCCCTTGCATCATTTAACTGCTGAACTAGGTTCATCCCAAGCTAAATACTATTTTTGGATGTGAATGCTGTTTTATCTATGTTTGTGACTTGACCCACACTGACAAACACAATATTATAGAGTTTAGGTTTGATTTTTCACACACACCTCCCCCCTCCTGCTTGCCTTTCCCTAAAGTACCCACTCAGAGCATTTTCAACAACTAATGGAAAATTTAGTGTTTTATATGCTTGAGGGGATTATGCCACGTATAAGCAGGTTGTGAAGGGCTGAAGAAGATGTTTTAGAAATTTGATCGTGGGAGCAGAAAAAGTTGCTTTGACTAGAATATAATGATAAATTCTTAGTCTGGAGTATAAAAGTAAGCTTGCTGTCTGCTCTGCTAATATACTTTGAAAGCTAGGTTGGTTGGTTTGTTTTTTCACTCAAGTTCCAGTTTATGGATTTATGCGAGGTGGTGAAGAGTGATTTTTCACATCATGTTAAGGGTGTCTATTTATTGCATTTTGGTATAATGTTAATTGATATTTCTGTTAAATCGGGTAATGGATTTCTTCCCTTACTTTAAATTCGTAATGTTTAAATGTCTGTGCTTTTGCTTCTTTCCCCTAGTCTCTCATCTTAACTTATGAGGAAAGGGAAAACGTAGTAATATAGGGAGGTGGTTGTACAAAGAAAACACTCTGGACTGTCATTCCAAGTAAGAAAGAGGGTAGGTACCTGGCCTCACTGTTGAGAAACGGATTTGGAAGAGCAGCTAAGAACAATGATGGCTCCCACTCTTCCTTAGTGAGTGTTTGTTCCCCCTGGCTATATGGCAGCAGAGCAGTTCATATACGCTCTTCTAGAGTGAGTTCTGTCAGGGGTTAGTTTCATTCAGTAGGGATGTTTTAAATGTACAGTTCAAATGATCGATATCCAGACAGTGTTACATTTGTAGCTTCTGTTTTCTCATTCATTTCATCTATAAAAGAGCTTAGAAGTTGGGATGGGTTTTTGTTTGGGTTTTTTCCCCAGAAAACACCCATGCAACTATAGCTTCAATAAGTGTCACAGTTTTTGCTTGAAATGACTTCATGGGTGCTTTTCTAGATTATTAGCACTGTGAACTGGCTAAAAGTGTCTCTGTTTCCTGTGGAGGTAGTCCTAACAGCTGTGTTAAATACACTCTTTATTACTAAATATTACAAAAATCAAGGAAGATTGATAAAACACAAAAATAGAGTGCCAGTCGAAGCAGCAATTTTATAATTTCATTTCTTTTGCATTGAAATTGTGCATATGTGTAAGCAGATGAGGTTTGCAGGTTACTTCTGTGAGATAACTGCTAGCAATTACAGAAGTAAAAATAGTCTGTCTTTTTGTCAGTCTCCCAGGAAGATTAATCTTGAAGCAGTGCTTTTCTGTGAAGATAATAAAATAGCTACAGAGGATGATTCAATAAATATGCTTCCCCTATACCTGCTTTTCTGTATCAGAGCATCAGCAGTTTGATGTCTCCTGGCAGCCTGGTGTTTATCTTGTTGCTAAGACAGAGGCTGTCATTACTTATAAATACCTGATAGTTCTGTGAAAATCTAACCTTTTATTGGTTGGTTTATGCATTCTGTCTGCCTTTCCTCAAGATGTTTATCAAATGACATCCCTAATGTATCCTCTTTTCACTGTTTCCAATATAACAGTCCGACTGTTTCCTTCAAGAGTGATGTCCTGATACAGCTTTATTTGTACATATATTCTGTCTGTAAAAATGTGTTCTGTAACTCTTGAGTGTTGTGTAACAGATTTACTGTTTGAATGCCTTGCAGTAATTTGCTCAGAGAAGGCTGATGTGCACAAGCAGGATAACAGGTGTTTTAGCCAGCCCTGACAGCCTTGAGTTTTTCTGTTTGCTGTGAGTTTGGAAGATATAGTCAGTGCCCAGCTAAACCTGGGCCTACTAAGTGTTCATATACCAATAAAGCCATTAGCAGCATTAACAGTATATTGGTGCTGGTGTCTGCCTAAATTTGAGCTGATAGCAAGGATGATGAATTGGAAGATGTAGTTGAAAATAGACTTATGTCCAAGACAGCCATGTATGTATGCTTGCCAGCTGTTGTTCATCCATTTCCTCTATGCAGGTGGCTTTCCTGCTACAATGAAAAACCCACTGGTAGGGACTGGAGGTGAGCACAGCATGGAGCCACAGTGACAATGCCGTATGACTCCTTAGCTAGGGCAGTCTTGCGTCTAGTTTGGTCTAATTAAAGGCCACTGCAGAGACTACTGCGTAGGTGCATCTGAAGTGTGCTTTAAAAAGAAGAAAGGAAAAATAAATAAAAAAGAGCAGCTAGCTTGAGAAATTGTCACTTGGTTCACTATTTCTGATGATTTTGTTTCCCTTACAGAAAAGAACAATTATTGCTTTTATATGTATGTATACAAAAAAAAAAAAAATCTCAGCTTCACCATGCCTTTGTACATATATATATAACTGCTGAGTTTCCTAGCTTCTATATAGAAATTTTATTGCTGATCTAACAGAATTATTTCTAGTAGATGTGATGATTTTTATTCAATTAGTTCACATTGACATGAAAAGAAGCCAGAACCCCACCCCTATGTTTAGTCTTTGACAATATTTGTTTTTTGTGGGGTGTTTCGCTTTTGGGTTTTTTTTCCACACCAGTCTTACAGATGACTTTCAGGAAATACTAATTGTATTGTGCTGTTTAAGTTTAGCAAAATCATTAAAACAAACAAACAAAAAGAAGTTATTTGGATGCAGTATAACGCGTCTTACATGGGTGAATGCAAATAAACCCTGTTTCTTTAAAATAGCCTGATTTAGCTGGCAGTTCTGTCAATCAGATTCCCCAAGGAGCGTTTTCTCTCCCCCTGTCTGTAACCTACAGCTGCTGCCCTTGCATGAGATGGAAGTGCAGAGCCTTCACTTATATGACGCAGCTCCTCAGAATGGAAACTGTCAAAAAATGTTGACTCCCTCTAGAAGAAGGTTGTGTCTGCATCTCTCCAACTGTGTTTTTTAAGCTGATTAATTTTGTCTGGAACTTTGTGCTTGTCCTGAATGTGACGGTTTCTATTGCAAGAGTACTGCAGGACAAACTGAAACGGGAGCTGCTCTGAGAAATAGGCAGCTATGGTGTGTCTCTTTGCTCCTGCATCCTAGCTTACCTGGAGCTAACACTGCTGCAGATAACTCCTTGTTCAGTCTAAAAGATACCTGGCCATACGTTTAGTGGGAACTGGAAAATTAAAAGACCTCATCAAGCACTAGTAGACTACTAGTCCCAAGCTCTAGGGAGTAATTGGGAAACTGTGCATTTGTCCTGGAAAGTAGGGATGGCAATGAAGCACATGAAGAAAAAGGCGTAAGAAACTTTCAGACACTGATCTCAGAAGTGTGAATAGAAAAAGGGAACACTATTTTATCCCGCTATTAAGACGGGGAAAAGAGGTTTTTTTTTGATATTTCATTTTCATAATCTTTTCCTTTTGATGAAATAACCTTTACAGCCTTAAACATTGTCATAAAGTTGAAAACATATTATATATGAGCTGGGGAAATGGAACATTTTCTACAGCTGCAGACTTCTCCTTTCCTTCACATCTGCAAGTTCCATGTTTTCTCTTCTGTTTTTTCTTGACTTTGTAGACATAGGCTTTTTTCTATCCGACAAATATTCAGACAGGAGTCTCTTGCTGCTGTGTGGTGTAGACACATGAAAGGTTAGGCCTTAACCTGCGAAGCCCGTTGAGGCTTCACTCGTGCTGAGTTTTATCTGGATGAACTGAACATGGGAACCCGTTGATGTCAGCAAAGTTCTGCTCAGCTGTGATGTCCTCTGATTAACTGGGGCCTGAGCTGATGCGAGGTGTAGTAATGGGTGCTCTAGACTCATGAACTTCATAAAGCAGGTAATATAAAAGCTAGCTGCACACAGCACGTATATGCATGTGCTCAGTTAGCTTTTAAGTCACTTTTATTCCTAAATGAACTGAAAAGATACAGGAAACTGTATCCTTCTTACCAGTATGCTCAAGTAGCTTAAAATTGACAAAGTCTAATTATGATCTTGTTTCTAGGACCCTACTACACTTTGCACTGCTATCGCTGTCTATACTGACACCAAGATTATTTTTACTGCCTTGTTACAGCTAGGACAGTCCTTGTTGCACAGGACAGTGAGCTTGGAGACCATGGTGATGTGTCCACTCACTGCTCTCCAGTGAAGTCTGAAACCTTGGGACTGGGGATGCCAGGGATTATACAATTCAAATAGGTAGGGACTTTGGGGGGTGGTTGTTTTGGGTTTTTGGTGTGGTTTTTTTGGTTGTTGTTGTTGTTTTTGTTTTTTTTTTTTCCCAGCTGAGGGAGCCAAATGGCTCCTCTCAAAATGATGTTACTTTACACTTTTTTGTCTTGGTAAATATGTTGTGCATGAGCAATGTAATGGAGCCAGAGGAAGAAATAGTTGTGTGAAACAGTGATGTGACTTAGCACAGTAAGTAAAATGGTCATCTACAAAAGCTGAGGGGTCAACAGCGCTGTGACTAGTTGTGGCCTTGCTGAGGAGACGATTCTATTCTTAGCATGCAGTTCCATATTGCAGTTAAACATAAATGTTGCTTTGTTTGCTTTCTCTTGCCTCATGGGGAGGCATTTTGGGAACCTAAACTGTGAGAAAACTAAACTGAGAGGAAAAATTAAGAACTCTTTCACTTGTAGCTTCTTGAAGTAACTTGCCACAAGGTTAGAGGCTTCCCAGTGCCAATAAGAAAGGGGTAGAGACATATGACAGTGAGAGAGAGGGGGCTGACATTCGGCAGGAGCTAGCCATCAGATTTAGTTACAGCATCAAAAGTCTCCAGAACTGAGAGGTAAATAAAAAAAAAAAAGTGGTAATTTGCATTTTGGGATTTGGATCTTATGTCTGTCTCAGGTTAGCTGGAAGACCAGGAAGGGTTGGTTAGAAACAGGCTATGTATGCTTGTACCTAAATCTCCAACTGTTGTAATCTGTTCTTCACAATCACAGAAGGTCTTGGCTATGTTCATAAATCCCAGTGCATGTACAGTTTAACTGAACTCTTCTTTCAGTTAAACAAATTTGCATGCAAGCTTTTCTGGGGATGTAGTGTGGAGTGGTGTCTCTTTTCAAATAAACTTCTATTTCACTGTAAAATATTACTGCACATATTTAACATGCCTCCAAAACAGCAATGATTCCAGCAAACCTAGAAAAATATTTAATCTCTTGCACTGTGGAGACTAAAGGAATTTTTGGATTTTATTTGGACAGAAATGAAGTCTTTTGTATTGGGTAAAGCTGAAGTGAAATGGAATTTGGAGCATATTTATTGTACTGGTAAATGTGAAGGGACTGGCAGAGGGGAGAGTTCACATGCTTCCCTGGCTGTTAGCTATCCCAACTGCAAGAAACCTTTATTTCTTCAAGTAACTGGGTATAGTTCAGTTTGCCTGAACTGAACCTGCTAAAATATGAACTGCCCCCTCAAAAAGGGGCAGCTTCACTGATGTTAGCAACAAAAGGAATTTCAGTGCTGCTCAGATACAAATTACCAAATACTTAAACTTCTGTCCATCTTTGAACTAAATGATATATCATGTTGAAGAGCATGTAGTAATTTGCAGCCTGTCTGCTACATCACTTTCATCAGTGAAGTTGGTGAAAATACAGGATTCAAACTTATAGGCTACATTGCTCCTCGATGCTACACTGAACATCTGCACTTTATTTGCATAGGAGGGATTTCCAAGTGACTTCAGAATCTGGGCTGGGTTATAATTTCCCATTTGTGTATTAGTTTATCACCAAATAAGGACATGAATGTGTCTATGTGGATATGTTGTCACTCTTGCACAGCTTTTCCTTCTTTTGAGGCTGCAAAGTACTATTAGAAGTTCACTGCAGTTTGCATCTACTGTTAATCATCTGTGTCCCATACAATCTGGAGAGCTTGCAGTGACAGCAGCCCTGACTATTTTGTACCTGTTTTACATGGGGAAGTGGTAGTGCTGTGAGTACTGCTACTACTGTGAATATAACTGTGAGGATTAGATGAGGTTTCTTTTGGGTTGACTTTTTTTTTTAACTGTCTGCACTGCATAGCAATTTGCCATAGTGCTGGGTTTGGTGCAGTTGTGCCACATCTGCAGAGCTTTTGCTAACCTGCAAGTTACATTAAAAGATGCCAAGTTGTTGTGGCAGTATAACCAGGTCAACGAGGTTGAAAGTCACAGTCTAATCCACTCAAGAAGATACTAAGGTTGTAACTGGCCCAAAATGAGTTGCCTCCCAGGTATATAGTAGTTTTTCAAACTTGTAAAAAAATCTATTGCAAATGCTCATTCATTGGTATTGCAGTTCATTTTGCCAGCTTAAAGATATTGGCTTCCATGGGTTTTGTTGCTTTTCTTTTTGGATGTTGGTTGTTGTTGGTTGTTGTTTGTTTTTAACATCCTTACCCGGAAGAGTCTGGATAGCAAAACCTTTCAGTGAAGGCCTTGCTAAAAAACTGTTCACAGCTCTTATTTATATACCTAACTCTCACTTACAGGCTACAATAGAGACCTTCATTTATTTATTTAAGGAATGAAAACTTATGTATGTTGACTGAGTGAAATTTAGCAGTATTTCCCTCCATAACTTTCATAGACTCAAAATCTAGTACAGCTTGGAAGGGACACCAGAGCACGCCTAGTCCAGCCACAAGTGTTTGTGTGGGAGGTTTCCCTTATATCCCCCAAGTGGGTAATTCTTAACTTGAGGCATAAACAACACATATTTCAACAACTTTAGTACCTATCTTAATTTCCTTCATCATTAGCAGAGGGAAATATATAAGAGAGAACATCTGGTCTGATTTAGATGTCTTTGGTTGTTCTGCCATCCTTCAGTGGTGTTTGTTTCCTTAGTGAATAGAAAGGGACTACAGATGATTAATTTAGATAGACCATGTAAGCATCTACATTTTTCATCTATAATGATACTATTTTATTTTTAAAATTCTTTAAAAAAATCTACTATTTTTTTTCCAAATTGCTTTCTGCAGTTTTAATTAAACATAAAATGTAGTGATGCTACCTACGTAACAGGACTTTTTAGTTGTCTTTGTTACTTCTCATTTGAGATTTCTTTGTTGTCTGGACCATTATGACTGGAAAGCCATTTAAGCCTGCCAGGACCATTCTATCTTGAGTCAAGGTGGCTCTTGATTGACTTCCACCTCAATTTATCTTTATTTTTCCCTCTGTTCCTTCAGAATTAGGGTTTGGTAGGCTTTCTGGAGGTGGGAAGCATTTGGGTAACCAGTGGTGATATCCTGCCTAAGGCTCACCCCAGCTGGGGTGTGACATCTGTAGACAGTGTTGATGGTGGTCTTGGGAGAGGAGCTGCAGGTACTTAAGGATCGAGCCTGCTTTATTTCCAGCCACGTGCTGATGGTAATTGCTTTCATTCCTTCCTTGCTTTCCCCTTCGGGAGGACAGTCTTAGCTAATGACATGGATAATATTTTATTCAATTAAGCTGTTCGTCTTACTCTTGCTAGTAAGTTAGCAGAACTGGTAGAAAACTTACAAATGATGACAGATAAAGTAATTTGCAACAGTAGCAAGTCCCCAGTGGCTTCCTCTGCTCTGCCTTTTGCTTTCAGATAGTGGCAACCTTCTAGTATCTGCTGATTATAACATTTCACATTTGACATCTGGTTTTAATCCCATATTGATTGCAGCTTTTGTAGATATTCTTTATGTAGAAACCAAGAGAGGAAGATCTGAATTTCTATAGCAACAACTTTCCTTTGTGTTGAGTTTTTGCTTGTATTTTATTTGCCTGTCTGCATCCCCATAGGAGAAGGATGTGATCATGATGGTATAATCTTTTTCCTTTACAGAAAGAATCTGAAATCATTTTTTACAAGATACAAGACGTTGCAGTGGACAAGTTCTTATGCTTTGCCAGACTTTCCTTATGATGTCAAGTGCATATTAGCAGAAAAAAAATGCCCTGATCACAGTATGAGAATAAGAATCATTGAATTTTTACAAGCAGACATGACAAAATACCTAGACGGATCACTGTGAGTAAACATTATTAGATTTATTTGGGGGTATTACCTATTGGCTGCAGAAACAAGTTTTTTTCAAATGGATGTAAAACCATTCTTTTTAATAAGCTTGCTTAAATAGAGGAGACTAAGGGCCTGAAACTTGTTGAAGCCAACAGGAAGATTTCATGCAGAACTTAAGGCTATTCCCCTTGTTATTTGGAGGGGAATCAACAGTCTGAGAAATAGTCAATTTAATGTAGCTCAGTAGAGACTCTAGACAGTGTCTGGTACTGTCTAGAATACCAACTATTCCTTTTACGTCTCTGTCTTGTTTGCACAGGTATCCAACCAGTCAGCAATATAACATAGTTGTCAATGCTCTGCTGCAGGCATATCCCTTCCTTGATGAAGATGGGAATGGCTTTGTAAGTATTGTAAAGAGTATTTCATCTTGAAAAGTACAGGCTTTGTTTGGGTTTTTCTATTTATTTGTTTGGGTTTTTTTTTTCACATAATCACAAGAAAATAACCTACATCAGAGGAAATCAATATTGATTTCTTATGTACTGGCTCTATTCAGAGCTGTAAGCTTTACTTTAAGATGTTTGGCATATTACATTCTTCTTTCATGATTTTAATTAAAAATTAATCCAGGTATATCCATTCCTCAAGGCCACTGTGAGATCATGCAGACCTGTACATGAAACCCCTGGTTGCTTGTTGGGTACCATTTTTTTGCTGGATTGATTTTTCCAAAAAAGATAAATTTAAGTAAATGCGACTTATTTTTGTTCATAAACAAAGAAGCTGAGTCTTTAGGAAATTGCATGAGGACTAATATGACTGAGGCTCTTGCAGTTTACTATGATCGCTTGTGTGTTAGATATCTAGCTACAGTGTGTAGTAATACCAGAGGTTTAAGTATGTCTGGAATCTAGGCCTAATTTAAAAGAAAAATAATTATTTGAAAACACTGGTTGTGAGCTCAGTGGGGACAGAAAATAAAGCAGTGGAAGGAGATGACTTAAATTTGAACTACTTTTTTTCACTCTTGTGAACTCTGGTACATATCTGTGGTCTCAGAGGACAGTATTCACCTTTTGACTTCACGTCATTGCTTTGCCATGTGATTCTTTTATAGCATCTTGTAAAAGCTTGTGAGACTCAGTGGAGACTGTTAGCTTTAAATGTATATAAATATATCTCTTGTGTGCAGTTACTGCAGAAAGCCCAATAAATAATTTTGAAAATAAAACAAAAAAAAAATGGGAGGATTAAGGGGTGGCTATTCTAGTTCTCCCCTGAGTACAGGCAGTGGAGGAGGGAAGGGACTAAAGAAAACAAGCACATCTTAGCGAGGAGAAAGGGAACAGAAGGATGAGAGCACAACAGTCCACCCTTATTTTTGATCAGGATGCCAGTCTGAATACACCAGTGGGGGTCCTTGGCCACTGTCCTGGGTCATGCTAAGGCTTCATCTGTCTCCCTTTGTGAAGGGGAGCTGCAATGACATTCGGGTCAGGTCCAAAGACCTTTTTACAGCCTCTAACTTTTAAAAAATATTTTTAAGCCAGGCTTTCAAAGGGCTTTATTTGCAGCAGGACCATAGAGGGGGTGAAACTACTTATAATTCCCTTGTTATAAGGGCTCACCATTTTCCAGATTGATCCCAGAGCTGGTGCTGGCAGGGACTTCCAAGATGTTGTTCTTTATATTTTGATATTTCTCTCATGCTTACTAGAAAGCATATCTGGAAGGAACCACCGTAAGTAAGCAAGGAAGATGGAATTAGCAATTCTCAATATTGCTAGTCTAATGCTTCTAAGTTGGCCCCTCTCTGTTGCCTTGGTTGAGGTACGAAAAAAGGTGTATGGTGTCTGTATACTTAAGTTTAGAGGAGGGGGTGAGAATGAATTGCTATTTTTATTTGCCATACTGTTAGACATTTTGTTCTTCCTTCATGATCATAAAGGCTATAAATACTTCTTTTTTCTTGATCAGAGATAGCTGTGTGTGACAAGAAAAATAGCTTAAAACAAACCCTACAACATTTCCAGAGCTACTTACCATGAGGCTTGCAGTAAAACTGAATTTGTATGCTTTTAAGAAACAAATGAACAACAGCAGCCAAATTGGCTAACCACCATTTCTTCATCTGTTCTCAGAAAAGAGTTTTCAACAGCTGAAAAAAGCAAAGTTTTTGTAGGCTTTTCTTTCAAAATTGCCCCAGGCTTGCACGGGACTCTTAAGACCCACGGCTTTCTGGTCCTGATAACAGTATTGATTCACAGGTCTTGTAAGATGTAAAATGTTGCTTATTGAGAGGTTTTGAGTGCCTTAAACTTGATTATTTATAATAATTAGACATTATAACAATTTTTAATAGTACATTGAAAGTATATAAGAAAAATAAAATAATAATAAAATATAATAATTGACCACCCTCAAGATACTCTTTTATTTGTATTTATCCTTTTTACATGGGTTACAACCAACCATTTGGAAAGAGTCACTGCCCTTATTTCATTTCATTTCAGACAACGTGTTGAAAATTGTGCGGTTTAAAGAATTTATGTTACATGAGGAAGAAAAGAGAGGGCTCTCCCACCCACACAGCTTGCCAGTGGGCTTTGCGTAAGCAGCTCCCTTGAGCTTGGGGCTGCCAAGGGGTGCCGTGACACCGGTGAAGCCCAGGATGCCTGTGCTCACTGACATGCCTTATTTATGTAACTGCTGCACGCAAAAAGATTATTCACTCGTAAATTACTGCTTTTAATCTGCGTGTAATCCTTTCCCTCCTATGTCAGACAGACACAGACTAATCCTTCTGCTCCCTTACAAGCATTGTAAACCTTCCTGGGGAGCTTTGGGTGGGTTGTTTGGGGTTTTTTGAGTGTGTGTGTGTGTGTAATTCACAGAAAATAAAGGTATCAGCTAAAATATGATTACAAAGGCATCTCTTTTAGAAGACACGTTACCCACTAGGATAACCCCATAAATGTATGTGCTCACAGTCTCATTCATGACATAGGTATGTGAGAAGGGACTTGTCTAATCTTATGAGAATCCTAGTACAGAAATAGATTTAGTTAGAACTCTTATTTTATCTGAGGGTGAGAGGATGAAACAGATGAATGTTTTGAACTTTGAGGGATATTTAAAGCTCTGCATAGGTGTCAGCATATTCTGTCTTGTGGAAGAATAAGCAAAAATGTCTTCTAGCCAAACAAAAGTTTTCAAAGGAAAAAAACTATGTAAAACTCAACTAAGGGGACATTTAAATTGTCAGCTGCTAATATATTCTGGGATGATCATGTTTTAAAATAATTTAACACCTGTTGAACACTTCAGAGAAGCATTAATCTAAGGTTTTTGTTTGCCTGCTTTTTAACAGCTTTAAAATAACAATGTTCTAAATAAAGGTTGCTAGGCATGTCATTTTGGGGTATTTACATCAAGATGCAAATGCATAGGACAGAACTGTAAACATATTTAGGACTCTTAATGGTTCAGGCAGATAGCAAGCAGGATTTTCAAGGCGTGTTGTCACCTTACTGTTTTTGGAAACAGTGGCTCTTTTTCCTTGTGTTCAGGATGGTGACTTCATGACTCCTGTTCTGGCAGAATCCAAAGTCTGGAATTTACGTACTAGAAATGCAGATGGATTTATTTCCAGTTCTTGGATGTTCAGGTGTGACTGGCAGTGAGAGGATACTTCTGTAAGGGCTCATTGGTGGGTGGTAGAAAGCATCCCCCCAGGAAGGGCCCTGGTTGGCCCAGGTCTGCTCAAGAAGAGCCAAGTTAGATGCTACAGGAGTTTTGTCCTTGGAGCTTTTCCACTGTCATTTTTCACCATTAATAGAGGTCTTGCTTTTAGGATTGAGGGCCTGTAAGTCATCTAGTGCCCTAGGGAGGTGGGCACAGTATGTTCAGCAGGAGAAAGACATGGTCATGCTGCCTTCACCACTGTCTGTTAAGAAACCCTCCTAACCATATCCTGTGGGTGAGAAAGGCAGGCATGTCAGACTCGCTGCAAAGAGACATTATTTCTTAGTCTTCTTTTACTAAATTCTGGTTTACACCTAAGTTAACCCTTGAAATAGTGTGACCTTTATTAGTAAAGGTCACAATATTGGCAAGAAGTTTGGGGTAATCCTTCTTCTCTTTAGTTTCAGTTATGTCAGCCTGTACAGGCTTGAGTGTAGTGTTAAGTGAGCATAGTACTGGAGCTGATTTTAGAAAATGAGGTAACAGATGTTTGAATATCTCTTGCCATGTCCTGTCATTTGAAGTCACTTCTCTGACTAATTTTTGTTCACTCTGACTGTTGAAAACCCCTCAGTGACTGGAATAAGCAGCTGCTTTTGAGGAACCGATGAAACATTTCCGATATTCACAATTGCGGTTTTGCATGCAGACATGTTTAACAGTCATTGCTTTGTAATTTCTTCTCCGTGTGTTGGTAGTTAGCGCAGCTGGGCCCCACCACAGGATGCCCAGCCAGGGACTGCAGGTAAACAGGTGTCTGTCCATAAGGATGCACAAGGAAGTTGCTGTCCATCCAGTTTTCAGAAATGAATTTTCAGTACCCAAGTAAAAAAGGAAACAAGTGTGATTGATAGGAGCAGTGGGACCACATAAACTCCATCTTTAGCTGCCAGGGAGTGCTGAATGGCTCCATTAAACAGGGTCTGCATCTACTTGCAGTGCAGAACTGCTTTTAAATTGCAATTTATATGTCTTGAGGAGTCTCACAAACACTAGGACCTACTTAAATGATCCTTTTAATTCAGAAATTTTGAGTTCTGTTTAATAATACGCTTGATCCAGTGCAACTGTAGGCTCTCTGCAAACAGGAGCATCCCCCTGTGTCTTTCCCACTCCCTTGTGTTATATATAATAATTGTACAACTGCACAACCAGGCAGATGCTGTCAGAGGAGGAGAAAAAATAATCCACTCAAAAAAAACCCATTAGTTTTCTGTGGCATCAGTGAGCTGATCCAATTCACTGTGTAGTTTCATGACCTAATGTCATGAATGCAGCATCCCAAAGAAAGAGCTGAGAAAAAGAAAGCAAACTGCAGTTTCACAGGCAGACCTGATTATATTAAATCTAGCCCTTAGGTTCAATTGCCATTATCCTTAACAAACTAGGGTGGTGCCGGTAGCCTGACTGTTTAGTTGCCATAGTCATATACCGCAGGTGCTTGTGTTTCCTTCAGTCCTGAAGCCACAATACGCTGATGCCACCCTATAGAGTCTTTTTCTGCTTAGTGGCAAATGCTTTTTTATAAAGTAGAATTGGATAAACCACAGTAACCTGCTTTAGGAATGGGACAAATGTTAGAAAGATACTGGTAATGACATAATATTTTTTTCCCATGCAGTTGCTGTGGAAACGGGCCCTTAAGGATCGTTTCAAGTATGTGCGGAGACCCATTGAAGATGATGAGCAAGTCCTGAGGAACAAATGCAAATTTGGCCACAGGAGAGGACAGACCAGGAAATGTTCATTTGCTGAAAACAAACCTGACAATGTCCAGGTGCAGGTAGAGGTAAGGTTTTTAGTTTTGGTGCTTAACTGGGTTGTGTGTCTTCCAGCTTTTCTGCTTACAGTAAGGCCATGTGCCATTAAAGGGGAGAACAAAGTGATCTCATCAATTTAAACACATTTTGTATTGAGTTTGTCCTATAGCCAGACCCTTGACAATTCTTTCCATTTCTGAAGAGCCAAGTATGAACAGTGGAGCTAAACCCAGGATGGAATGCCTTGCAGAGTTGTTGTCATTTAGAGTTGTTTCCAATTGGACAGAAAATTCTGGGGCTTTTTAAATGCAGTACTACCAGTCTGCTTTAGGTTACACACATTCCAATTAGTGAAAAACAATAGAGGCCCATGTCTAAGAGCTGAAACCACTGTATAAAAAAGAATGCAAAGTGATACTTGAGCTGGTAGCAAGTGGCCATATACTACACATTGCGCTGTTATATAAAAACTGTGTTGGTGTGTGATATACATAGGGATGCTTATATGTGCAGTTGCTGTATTTCCCTTTAGTTAGAGAATTTGGAGAATTATCACTGTCCAGTAAGTGCATGAAGCATTCGAACTAATCTGTACACTTTCATAAATACATTATGGTTCTAGTTATCCTTTACCAGTCCTCCCCACACTTCCTTGTGCTGCGGTTAAAATGTGGTAAAACTAAAACAGTTGTAAGAATGGGATAAAGATGATAGGTAAGCAGATATTTGACTTTACTTGTCCACCCTGCTCTTTAGGCAGACACATGATATTTAGGGGAGCAAGAGTGGTTTACTGGATGCATTTCTCCATATGTTGCCCTTGTGTTTGAAGGCAATTGTAATTTTCTATCCAAAATGCACATATATGTTTGGGTTTGGTTTCTCATTGTATTTTTTGGGGGGGGGGGGGGGGGGGGGGTGGAATTTTTGGTGGTGGGTTGTTTTTCTTTTTCTTTAGGTTTTGTTGGGTTTTGCTGTGGGTTTGTTTTTTGGTTTTTGTTTTTTTTGTGTGTGTGTGTTTTGTTTTGTATCTTTGTTTTGTTGTTTTTGAGCTTCAGTATTTTCTGTTTATCCCCTTTTGGCTAATGTGTGCAGGAATAAACACTTCCCTCTTTTTGCCTGCTTTAATTGAATGGCTTGCAGAATGTGTGAAGTAAGAAACCTTTAATTTGGGTGCAACACAATAAACAGCCTTGCATGCAGTAAAGGAGAAATGATAATTTCCTGAGTTTCTGTATGCATCAAGAGTTGGCCATCCTTTATTCACTGATGCTCGGAAAGGGGTGGGTCTCTTTTGTCACATCGGGTAGTTGAGAAGAGCTTTGCAGTGATCTTGTAGGGACTATGTGCTCAACTTCATTTTTCTATGGAGAAGGTGTAACTGCATTGCACTGTATCTGGAATCATCACTCTTTTTAACTGCACTGTCCAAGGCCACCACTGATCATTCCTTGTTTGCTTTAGAAGTTGAAGAAGAAAGTATGATCAATTTCTTCTAAAGTCTAGGCATTTTCTGCTAGTGTTGATGTTGTAATCAAATAAGGGTTAAACTGGAAGGGGGCAAGAGGATACTGAGTACCCCTAATCATAGAATCATAGGATCATAGAACAGTTAGGGTTGGAAAGAACCTTAAGATCAAGTTCCAACCTGTCCTGCCATGGGCAGGGGCACCTCACACTAAACCATGTCACCCAAGTCTTTGTCAACTCTTCCTTTCTCTCCTGTATCATGATTTTTCCTGTATCATGACTATAAATAAAAAAACAGTATAAATGGAAGAATTAACATTTATGAAAACCTATTAATGCTTAAGAATGAATCCCACAAAACTGGGGGAGTCATGACTTTCTTAGTTCCAAATGTGTTTCTACTTTGAAAGCAGGTGTGTCTGACTCTAAGGTCCTGAATTATGTCATTACAAATGCATACAGCTGAATAAGATGTCTGTTTAATATTCGTCTAAACAAATGCAGTGTTGGTGTTTTCATTGTGTATGTTCAGGGGCACACATAAAGGCACCTTTCTGCCACTCTTGGCACTAACTGCTTTGTGGTAAATTTAAACTGCTAAACAGAGTCTTAGCTTCAAAAAACAAATGCTTGGTCTAGAAGCGCATACCACAGGCAGAACCAAATGATTCTCAGATTATCATTAGACAGAATCCCTTGCCTTCATTCCTTTTCCAAGTCTGGAAGAGCAGATCAGCCTTCTGTGGACTAGAAGTCAGTGCATCAGGATTATTTAAGGTAAAAATGTGGGAAATGAATTCCAGCTTAAGGAAACCTTTGGAGAATCATCAGTGAAGGATTTCTAACCCCTTTGTGTCATCACACTCTCTCTTAGCTAGCAGAGTAGAGCATTTAGGGCATTACAGGCTGAAGTCAACTGGCAAGCAGTGCAGATGAAAGAGCACATCTGTTCCCAACAGATGACCTACTTACCAGCCACACAGCTGACTTCTATATTGAGCTTTAGTTTCTGAACAGTCATAAGATGTAACTGTCAAATGTGTTTTGTGTCAGTATAATCTTGGATTGTTAATGTTATCAAACTGATAAAAAGATTATTTACTAGTAAGAAATGCCTCACTGGTATACCTGGCATTTGGTTTCATATAAAAAGTAAAGTTCTTACTACTAATGAAATCCTTAACCACTCTTTCTATTTTATCATGCAAAAAACCAGTTGCTTGCCAAGACCTGCTTCCTATGTTGTTCTGGGATATGCTCAGAGCCACAGATGATGTCTGCCCCTTGGCCTGACCAAGCCCCATTACCAGCCAGCAGGCATTCCTGCTCCAAACACAGCATGAGTGTTACTTTGCTTCCCATGTAGGGCATTTCTTCCACATGTAGCATCTGGCATTTTCCCCAGTTCCTTTAAAACATCTGCTGATGTGTTCCTTGTTACAGAGCATTATACTCAAGCAAGATTGAAGAGTATACTCATTTTAGAGTGCTAGCATCACAGCAAAGGTCTTGAGCACGTGCAGGGCTGTAAAATAATGGTAAGCACATAAACCTATGCTTTAGGTGTCTGTCACTGAAGGATGCTTTGCTTAAAATGATGCTCCCTAGTTGAGCCACCACTGGAAAAATTTGCACATTAATATGACCCTCCATGTCTGAGGGATATTTAGAACTTGAAAATAAGGAAAGCCTTCTTAATTAACGAACTTTCTGGCTATGAGGTGAGAATCCTTCTCATTCATTTTCCAGTCATACAAATATCCTGGAGCTGCAGTAGTCCAGGGCAGGGTGCTTTGTAATCTTAATGACATTCATCTGCAAATGGAAGGTACTTTCCACGAGAGGGGTGATCAAGCCACAAAAATGAATAAGGCAAGCCAGTCTCTCCTCCACCGCCAGAGTGGGGTTACTTCAAAGTCAGCCATCCAGTGGCTTGTTCTGAATGACCTTATTCTTTTTTTTTTTTAACATCGAAATGGCATCTTTATGAAATTACTGGGCTTCTGGTCCTTCAGGCTATGAGAGAAACCACTTCTTGCCAGTTGTAACTAGGGGAGCCAAGAAAGCAACAGGAAGATAGCACACTTTTGCTGTGCATCTTTGGCCAGAGGATTATCAAAAGGCAAAAGGTGATGGAGAGGAAAGAGTGGTTACAGCTGGTGATTGGCTTCCATATGATGAAAGCATGTGGTTCAAATGCTAGCTTGGTCATCACAAGGGTGGTGGTCAAAGAGCAAATTGTCCCTTTCAGAACTCCAAGTTTTGTAATTTTGTTAGTCTCGAAAAGTGAAATACTGGTTGTCCCTTGGTAGAGGAAACAAGATTTCACCCATTTTGCTTACATTGTGTATTTGTTAGCTTACAAATCAGAAGGTAAATGTGATCAGATATGAACTGACTTACGTGGCCTTGAAAGTTTGCAGTTAGCATTAGCACGTAATCTAGCTCTGAGAGTCTGCCTGGCGCAAAAGGGTAAGTATATGTAGCTAAAGCACAGCCTGCTTTAATTAAACATCTGATTTGAGTACAAGACAGTATGGATCCTGCAGAAGGTTACATGGTCAATTTTGCATGAAAGCAGTCTGCGCATGTCGCTTCACCTGTCTGTGTCCAGTGTTTGGATATGAGAGGTGGCACAGTTGCAATGCCTTCTCAGTTCTCTGCTACCCTATGGGACTAAGATGGATCCTGAGCAGTATCCAGCTTACTGCCTGCTTTTCAGATTCAGACTTGCTCCAGGTCAGTCTGCAGCATTTTGTTTGGTTTTAGGGTTTGGTTTTTTTTAGCAAATCACACCTGGTTCAAGCGTTTATCCTGATCTAAAATGCTTCAGTGTTCAGAAAACTAAATGTCAATATGATGAACCTGAAAGTCACCATGCAAAAAAAGTCTGTCCCTTACAATAGCGGTAATAAAAGCTGTTCTGTACACTGTGTTTTTAAGATACCTTGTGTCTCTATGTGTTCCAGACAAAGCAGTAAAACACACTTTTCAGTATTCAAAAATCAAGATACAAGATTTGCATTATGCTTACTTAACTACCTGTGAAAGCTGTTTATCATCCTGAAGTAGTTATAAAACCCAATTAATGGAAAAGATTATTCCGAACAAGGAAACAAGGGTCCTACTATAGTCTCAGTGGGAGTATTCAAGCATCATGTTCTTTGTTTAGGCAGATAGAAGACCCTGAAACTGCTACTGTCAGGTTTTCTTGCATAAGTACCTTTAACATTGATGCTAACTCTGATGCAGGTATAGACTCAGAAATCAAGGAGTGTTAGCAGCAGCAGTAACAGAACTTGGCTTATACGTTGGCATCTAGCCAGAAAAACCTGAAATGTTTTTTCAAATGAAATATATTTAGCTGCTGCTGGGAGCTGACAAGAGCAGTAATAATGACAGTCAATACAACAGCTGTACCAACACTGCTACCTATCAGCAACCCAGTCCCAAAGTATGGTGTAAAAGGAGCTCCCACTCAGTGCCAGCACCACTGAACCTGTCTATGTGGCTCTGCTGTTGCAGGAGATGGTTCTTGCTACCATCGCGTGGCTTCTGC